TCCCTCTCTTTCTCTCTCTTTCTCTCGCTCTTTCTCTCGCCCTTCCCTATCTCTCTTTCTGTCTCCCTCTCTCTCTTTATCTTATTCTCTAACACACAAATCCTCCCCTCAAATTATACACAGGGGCACAAAATAATTGTGTCAACAAGTTCAGCTATAGCATGACATGAAGAGGTTTTGTCCCTAATTTTTATGTACTCACCTTTAAAATTTAAACAAATTAATGTTTTCAGTGGAGCTAATCCCAATACAATATTTTGAAAACCAAGAATTATTCATTACCTTTTCTTGAACAGAAGTTGTCGAACTGAATCTTTTGAACTGAAAACTGCTCAAAGGTTGAGATCCTAGGTTGACTTAATATGTTTTCTTTTTTCAAATGTCGACATAACTTAGATCTTTTAGGGGCCAGGTTGAAGAATTAGACCCCTTGATTAACAAGCGTTTGTATAATTTCCATTGACAATAAATCTATGCGTATGTTGTAACACTCAAACGAGGAAAATTAAATTGAGGAGCTAAATCCCTTCAATGCAAAAAGTGGACATGCACCCAGGTTGCCTCGAGTGTTTTGTTATTGGGGGGTTGTGTTTGTTTGTTTGAGTAAAGTGAAGCATCTTTACTTTACTCTTACTTTTCCGATCCAGCGGCCATCTGAGTTCTAGCCCTTCGCCTGTCGATATAGCAAAGAATTAACAGGTTTGTTTTACGTATCAGCTGTGTTTTGTCGTTGTATAGAGTATTTCCGATACCTGGGGAGGCAGGTAAGTACATAGGTACTTCGCTGGCCGTTAAGTGCAGGGCAGGTAAAGAGGTAGTCACACAGCGAGCAGGTCGGTAGGGTATCCTTGCTGTTCATATTATTTAGGTGAGAATTCAGTGGGATGTATTGTGTTCGCAGATAGTGACTTGTTCTCTTCTACTCAGGGAATTTAGTGAATTCTTTTGAATTGGGAGCTGGCATGTGTGCAGTTCTTCCAGTTTTACCCATTGCCCATTCATTCAGCCAATGTTCCTTGGTGTTGCATTTGATAATGTTCTTGAGGATTCATATTATTTAAGTCTAGATCTACCTCTGACATTCAGAATTATAACCCATGAATTTTTTTTTGGGCAAATTCCAAAGGTTAGAAAAGTAAGTTGAAGGAATCAAGAGTAGTCTATAACCATGACAATTTTTTACATTCTCCCCTCCCCTTCCCTCCCATATCCTTCTATCCTCTCCCTCACCCATCCTCTTATCCTCATCAACGAAAACCTTTATCAGGAGCGATCCAGAAGGTACCAGTTCTATTCGCCATGAGTATTTCCCCATTGTCTACAAAGCGGCACCGTATGAGCTCGGCTTCTGGACACGCCCCTTTTTCCGTTGCGATGGCAACGTGGACACCTGGGTCATGACCTACGTAGCACCCTTCTTCGGCCTGGACGGGCTTCGTACCAAGTTGGAATTCAGGTTTGACGCTCGTGCTTCTTTTTACGTTTGCTTTTTGCTTTTTGGGGGGGTAAGGGGATGGGGTCTTTTATTTATGTTTTGAAATAGGGGAAATGAGCATCGACCTATTTATAGAGACGTAAGCTTGGAGTACTGTTTATGTTTTTCTCTGTGAGTTTTGGGAGGGTTTTTTTAAGGCGCATTGAGTTTACTAAGGTGTACTGCTACATGTGAATGTTACTAGTTTTAGTAAAGTTCAAGCTATGACGCAGTATAAAAATCATGTTTCCCCCGATTGACTCTAACTAATGACGTCCAAAGTCAACACACTGTTCCTTAACCACAGATGACACAAACAGTACCTCCTCCCTCTCCTCCACATTCTCTTCCTCCTCCTCCTCCTCCCCCTACTCCTACTCCTTCTCCGACATCTAACCCTCTTCATTGTCTTCCTATTCCTCTCCTATTCCTCCTTCGGTTCCTTCTCCTCATTTTTCCTTTTTCTCTCCCTCCTACTTCTTCTTCTCCTACTCCACCTCTGGCACTCATATGACCTTATACAGTTGTGAGCGCCGTAAAACCTTCCTAAATTAAACTGAACTAACTACTCCTCCTCTTTTCTCCTCTTCTTTTTCCTCCTCCTCCTTTCTCCTCTTTTTTTCCTCCTCCTCCTCTTCTTCCTCCTCTTCACCTCATTTTGATTACATTTATCCCCCACCCCCACCCCCAGGAGGCGTCCAGTTTTCCTGAAAGCGACAGGACGAGCACGTGAACAAACTATTCAAACTTGATTTTTCCTTTTAGGTGAGGTGGCTCTCTGAAGATAAGATTGGCCATCCACGAGTAATTGTAGTCAGCAGCTTTATTCATGGTTAAAGTCGAAATAGAACCCTAACCTTTAGAACAAGAGCTAAAAATAAAATATTCAATTCACTGAATTGCGACGGTTCATTCTAGGTTTTTATTATTGCACAGTCAAAAGGTAAAATCTTCAAAGTACTAGAATATATTCTTTTACAACAAATATTTTAGACGAAGTAGAAAAATATCATTGTTATCATTTTTGTATCATCATCATCATCATCATCATCATCATCATCATCATCATCATCATCATCATCAACATCATTGTATAAAGAAGGTATTAAAACAGTTAAGACCTTGTTGTATTTCCAACAAAAATATATATTTCACAGTTCAACGTTTCGCCAATAAGGCTTCATCAGGAACATAGTATTTGAGAAAAATAAATGGGTGATGACGCCACAGCAACAAAGTGTTCACTATAAGTTACGTATTGGTGTGGTTTGGACAATATCGGAAATATCTCCATCATCACCATCATATACACAGGCTATTAAAAACTAAAGTGCGTACATAAATGTCTGAATATTTAAAGGAGCGGTGAGTACAAATCGCCGGAGAGAAGGGAACACTAAAGCCAGAAGTGGTAGAGAGAGAGAGGAGGGTGGGGGTGGAAAGGTGCGTGGAAGTAAGGAATAAAATAACAGAAGGGTGCGGTGAACACAAATCGGAAAGGCCAGAGAAAGAGAAACACTAGGGCCAGAGGTGGCAGAGAGAGAGGGAAAGGAAAAGAGGGAGAGAGAGAGAGAGAGAGAGAGAGAGAGAGAGAGAGAGAGAGAGAGAGAGAACTAGTACGTGGAGGTAAGGAATATAACAGAAAGGCAGGGCCAAAGGGAGGGTGTTGCAGGAACATAAGGGGTGAATAGTACGTTACGTTGTAAATTTTAGGTCCTTAAAATGGGGCTCGTCGATGTTAAGGCCAGTGAGAATTTTGTGAGACCCCATGTTCCAAATCCACATTGATTCTCTTTGGTTAAGTTTTTCTTTAGTAGGATATGGGACTATTTCAATTCCCTGAAGCTGCAAATCGGAGGCACCATTGTGACCAGGACTGTTGAAATGTTGGCCAACTGGTGTGCTGGAGTTTTTCTGGACTGAATACCTATGGTTATTAAACCTAGCTCTTAGTGTGGTGGTAGTTTGGCCTACATATTGAGCTGGACAGACTTTACACAGGATATGAGGTAGATTACATTTTTGGTTTCACAAGTGATGCTGTTGGAAAGTTTTCTTTTAAAGGGGGGGCCTTCTACAAAGTTGGTTACTTTCATGTAGGCACATGTTTTGCATCTAGGTTTTTGTCAACAAAAGGCCACCAAGAAACCCTGCTACTTTAAATACTTTATACCAACATAATTTAACACAGTGCGAAACACAACATTGACACCGATAGTCTGCAGTGTTTGCGCCTCATATTAATCCTTTCGCAAGATAACGCACATATTAACAGAGGAAGATAGGACTAATGCTAACTTCATTTAAAAAAACAACAACCAAATAACAGAAGCATATCTTCTTAATAATTATAAACATAAGCACCATCCCACATCATCAGTCATCACCACCACCACCGTCATTTCTAAAATCATCATTGCTCTCAGATCCTTCACAAACATCTAATTATCTTGAACATATATATGTAACGGTTATATGTTATAATTTTTTATAAATTGTGTACGTTATACATTATTGGGCACTCTCATACGTACACCGTTCTACTAATCAGATGGCGTCAATATCATAGAAATGGGCAAGGGACAAAAAAAATAACAATAGTTAGAGTCAATCGGGGGAAACATGATTTTTATACTGCGTCATAGCGTCCTGACAGAACTTGCGTTATTTGAGCAGTGAATGTATATGTATGCTTTGACGACAGTGTGTTGACTTTGGACGTCATTAGTTAGAGTCAATCGGGGGAAACATGATTTTTATACTGCGTCATAGCGTCCTGACAGAACTTGCGTTATTTGAGCAGTGAATGTATATGTATGCTTTGACGACAGTGTGTTGACTTTGGACGTCATTAGTTAGAGTCAATCGGGGGAAACATGATTTTTATACTGCGTCATAGCGTCCTGACAGAACTTGCGTTATTTGAGCAGTGAATGTATATGTATGCTTTGACGAGTCCACTTTTATTTTAACTCGTGTCTTGAATACATTTAAACAAAATTTTATAGGCTTCATCAAATATAGTTAACGGGATCTTCGAGTAAAATCTGACTTCTTTCTTTCAAGGCAGTTTTGCTAAATTTCTCATTTCTCGAGAGGGATGGAGTAATGTCATGGTTGTAAAAGAGAAAGAAATACACATTTCATGTGATCGACAATGTTAATGTTTTTGGATCAAGTAAGATTGTCCATAGAAAGACACCACGAAGATCATAACTATATAGAGACAGTATCTCGGCAAGTTGTTTAAATGTATATACTAGATCTATGCCCAGAAAGCTATGTCTTTCATGAGAAAGGAAAAATATTAACAATTACACCTCTATTATGTTTTTTTTCCTTTTTTAATATTTAGAATTTAGATTTCAAACTCGTATATTATTTCTTAAGCGCGTGCTACCGATATCACAGATTCATGTTGGACTAAATGTATTTGAATAGTTGACCGAGGAAGATCTAGTATTACAAAAGTAAAGACAGACCCCGAACCCAACATTGGAAAAATGCACCAAACCATTTTGATCAATGTCACAAATCCTCCCCCCCCCCCCTTTCCTCCCCCACACACACCTTAATTCCTCCCCTGCAACTACTTTCCGACTTTCCCTCATTCTTTTCTTTTTCTCTTTCTATTTTGCTTCAGAGAGTATTCTTTTATTTCCCTTTCTTTTCCATCTCACCCCCTTTTAAGTTTCTTCTTCGTTCGCTATTTTACAACGTTTCTTTCTCTTTCCAAGTTACTGCTGTCTTTACACCATGAGCTGCATGCATGGAAATGAGCAAGTGATGGGTAAAAAAGCTGCTTGAGCTTTCTTCAAGGCCACCTCTCTGAGCTCAGCGCTTGTCTTGCCCTTGTTCATGGATATTTCTTCATGTTTTATGCAGACAAGGGTGGAAACTGTCATTTTACAGCGTCCTTCTCATAAGTATACCAGTGGAAGGGTGATGTGTGTCCGTTTGTAGCATCTCCTTCCTGATTTTAGATGGTTGTTCTATTCGTGCAATTGGCCTGGCAAAAGGTCGTCGTTAATATAAAAGTAAATACATCCCAATCCAACCTTTAAATGCAAATACGTCAGACAGCGATTATTTTTCTGGTTGTTTGTTTTGTTGTTGTTGGTTTGTTTGGGGGGGGGGGGTTGTTATTTAGTTTGTTTTTGTTTGGGGGGGGGTTGGGGGGGGTTGGGGAGGTGGATTTATTTGTTGTTTGTTTGTTTGTTTGTATTCTTTTTGTCACTGCAAACCTGTGTCTGAGAAAGGGTGAGGTAGGAGTGCCACGGGAAGAGAGATTGCTGCTAATAATTTTTGTAACAAGAATGTCGGTTTTATAAGGAGACCTAGTCTAGCATATTACATTAGGTTGGTCCTATTGTTCCGCCATACCACAGGGCTTATAATAGTCCCTCTTCAGGACAAGACCAACCCTTCCCTGTCATTGTAAATGTCTTTGTAACATTGGTGGCTCAGTGGTTAGGCTCTCGGACTCGTAAGACCATGGGTTTGAATCCCGTCAGGATCCTGACGTTGTGTCCTTGGGAAAGGCATTTTACACGAATGTTTCTCACTTCATCCACGTTGGAATGGGTATCCGGTTATAGGTAGCGAAATATCTTATCAGTTTGTTAGTGTTGGAGAGTTTAATGAGCTGCTTGCATTGTATGCTTCCCAGGAAGCTGGAAATGTATCTGAAGGGTCTGTAGTGATAATAATGTAGATTGTTTAGTGCTTAGAACTTCCAGTTGAACTGGGATATTGCCCATTACAAATGCATTTGTTATTATTTTTTTGCTCCAAACCCATGTCGGGGAGTGGTAACCTCAGTTGACATCGTGGCAGGCTATTGTACAGGTTACTGGTTCAAATTGCCAAAGGGAAAATCTTACGACTGTGGAGTATGAAAGCTATTCTATCTACTCATCTCTATGGTAATGGAGATGGGCGTTAAATTCGGAGGCCCCACCTCTTTAATTAGCGAAAGTATTAAAAGGGGTGCTAAACTCTTGCCTTACCATATCTATCCCAGGTCTTCCATTATACAAAAAAAATCTATTTGTGTCAAAGTGGAGTTAAACTAACACTTACTTGTGCATTTATTTTCCTTCTTCTTTTCTCTGACTTCAGGGGCGTTGCCACGGTGGATGTTCCATTGAACTTCCTGGAGATCAACCAGTGCCCTCAGCCGTTTTCGGTGGCGAATGCCTTCAAGAATACCGCCCGCTGTGACTATCTCTCTACAAACGTAAGCCGTTTATCATCTTTTTATAAAATGTCCTCCAGACAGACAGACAGACAGACAGACAGACAGACAGACAGACAGACAGACAGATAGATAGACAGACAAACAGACAGACAGACAGACAGACAGACAGAAAATGAGAAAATAGAAGGATGGATGGAAGGATGGATGGATGAATGGATGGATGGATGGATGGATGGATGGATGGATGGATGGATGGATGGATGGATGGATGGATGGATAGATAGATAGATAGATAGATAGATAGATAGATAGATAGACAGTGGTCAAACAATAAGGTTGAAAACAACTTACGAGTATACTTTGTTGACCAGAACATGGGACATCTAGAGAACTGAGTTGTTTTCAATTTAAGTGTACAGCAAATTTACGGACCCACTGTATTTTTAATCATGTGTAGCTTATAAATTATATATATATATTTATATATATATATATATATATATATATATATATATATATATATATATAATATATAATATATAATATATAATATATAATATAAATAATAATATATAAATAATATGTATATAATATGAATAATAATATATAAATAATATGTATATAATATAAATAATAATATATAAATAATATATATTAATTGGGAGGGGGGCTGGGTGACATTGGGGTGGGCGAAGCGCTTTAGATGTTGGAAAGTGCGTGAGTGTTTGGCTGTGTATTTTGCTCAAACATGTTTGACCATGTGTGATGATGTTGTGCGACCTTATTTAAATTTGTTTTATTTTCTAAATACATACTCTTGCTAGACGTGATGATGTTTTATGTTTTATTTTTCTACACTCCATTTCTTAAAACACAATATTTGAAATGTTTTTGGATGTTCTTGTTGTTCAACGAAAATCTTTATTATATCAGTTTTGTGTTAAAAGATTGTTGGATCAACGGTTGATGTACCGGGTGTCTTTTGGTGTATGGGTTTGACGATTCGCTGTAGCACACAGGAGACTCGAGTTTAATTCCTTAATTGGGAGAAATTCTTTATTGATTATTTCGGTGTTTCTGCTGTGATGTTTTCTCCCTCTCCGTCCGGGTTGGCCCTGACAGGTAGGGTCGAAAGCCCGCCTCCTAAATTATTTAAATTTGTGTCAGTGGGGTGTAAAAAATTGTTGAGGTCAAAAAAGTTTTTAAATGTATTTCATTTACCTATTGCCGTGAGGCACATTTTTAGATTCCACTCTTACAACTGCTTTTCGATGGCAATATTATCTTTAAACTCAAACTTTCAACCTTCCCACCTCCCCCCCCCTCCCCCACACACAAAAAAACCACTTAACAGTGTGCCCCCCAAGCTGGATTCCCCTTCATGCGTGGATCCTACACGTGCAAATGCCGTCTGGGCTTTGAGTACTGGCACTATGATGGGAAGGAGTGGTTTGAGGGATCCTTCGTGGAACTGGAGTACGTGAAAAAGCAAAATGGGAACTTCAGCAGGTAAGAGAGATGAGCTGGTTGTTAGTTCACACTTTCCCAACTTGTTGGTTCTGCTTGAACTAGCTGGTCTGAGAAATGGGAGAACTGATTGCAGCGTCCGTAATCTAGTGGTCAGGCTACTGGACGTTACGAGCTCATGGGTTCGAGCCTCAGACCTGACTTTGGGAATGGGTACCCGGCGCCTTAAGCAGCGAAAAATGTCATTTATGTTATAGCTTTAGCAGTAGCAGTAGCAGTAGAAGTAACAGTAACAATAGTAGAAGTAGCAGCAGCAGCAGCAGC